GAAATTGTTGTGTCAATGATAGGAAATGTGATCTCTTGAAACGTTAGGGGATTAATAACCAATGCAATGGAAATAAGTTCCCCGGCCCTGATGGGTTCAATATGAAATTTCTTCAAACTTTTTGGTACTTAGTGAAGGATGATGTGATGGATCTTTTCAAGGAATTGCATAAGTTTGGAAAATTTGTTAGATCTATCCGTTCAACTTTTATCGCTCTTATCCCCAAAAATAGGAACTCTAAGAAGTTTAAAGATTTTAGACCTATTAGCTTGGTGGGATGCATATATAAGCTCGTTGCCAAGGTGTTAGCTAGGAGGCTTTTTAGGGTGCTTGGAAAGGTGGTTGGAGCATGTTAACATGCTTTTGTGGAAGGTAGACAGATCAATGAAACTTTTAATGATATAATGGCCAAGAGGATGGATGGATGGTTTGTTGTGTAAGTTGGATAAGGCTTATGACCATATGAGTTGGAATTTTGTTGAATATATGTTACAAAGAATGGGTTTTGGGCAAAAATGGCAGGGCTTGATGAAATTGTGCATGTCTTCCTCCTCTTTTGCAGTGTTAGCAAATGGTGGGCTGTTAAAATTTTTTAGTGCTTCCAGAGGATTGAGATAGGGTGATTCCTTATCCCCCATGCTTTTTATTCTTGTAATGGAGGGCCTTAAATCGGTTGTTATGCAAGACAATTGATCTTCGGCTCGTTAAAGGGCTCACGGTGTCTCATCTGTTTTTTGCTGATGACACATTAATCTTCTGTCAACTTGACGTGAGAAACTTGTTGAATTTGAGATGTGTACTGCTTTGTTTTCAGGCCGTTTCTGGTCTTAAAATCAACCTTGACAAGTCCGAGTTGGTTAGAATCGCGGGCAGTGGGGATGCGAGTTTGTTTGCCAGCGGGTACAAAACTGTTAAACTCCCTATCAAATATCTTGGAATTCCCTTGGCTGCCAAATATAAAGACCTTGCATCTTGGGAGCCGATTCTTGAGCTTTTTGAAAAGAGATTCGTGGATTGGAAGCGGAATTTTCTCTCTAAAGGAGGTAGGTTCACGTTAATCAAGAGCACTATGGCAAACCTCCCCATTTATTACCTTTTGTAGTATTTTTACATAGGAAATTGCTGCATGCAAAAACTATTTATGTAGCTTTTGTAGAGAGAGAGGGCACCGAAAC